CCCCCCCCCCCCCCCCCCCGGAATGTTTTATCCACCTCTATGTCTGAATCTGAGGTCTGACTCTTACACTCCTGTAGCAGGATAGGAATTACTCGTCTCAATCCTTTATTTTTCTGGGCACTCTTGCCTCTCAGGAAACTCCACAAACTTAAATCCTCAAATCAGTAAAGAAACGTAAGCATGGTCCATAAAGGGTTAACTTAAAGCGCTGAATCTTTTCTCAAACCTTGAGAAGGTGACTTTGGATCTCTGCTCACTGTCTGAATTACATTCCAAATTGGGGGGGGGGGGTGTATGGCACTGGCAGCTGGAAGCGGGTAGGAGGAGCTGCTGCTGCTGCTACCACCACCACTGCCTGAGGCTTGGAGGTGTTTTTGTCTCTTATGGGGGGCTCAGTCCCCCTGGGTTCCACCATAATTCAAACCCTGTCTCTGCTGCTTTCTCAGCACTGCAGCTTTCCTTCTCTCCCTCTTGAGTGAGTTCCCTGTTGTGGTGCTACTACTTCCAGCCTCACAACCCCTGGGTTTCTTCCCAGTCCCCAAGAAAGTACCCTGGCCCAGTGTTGTAGCTGGTATCCATATCCTCATCATCTTCCTAGCTCCTGGGAGCCTTTTAACTTCCTCTGGGACTAACCAGTTATTTGAATCAGCTGTCCTAGTCCAGGAAGACCTGACATTAGTTTTCACCAGCCTGCACCTGGGCTGTAGCCTCTGCAAGCCTGCAGACTGCTACAACATGATGTGTGCAGCCTGCTACATATCCTCTCCTCCAATGTCTTTATCTTCTGCCCCCTCCTCCCCCTGCCCTCCCCCAGAAGAGGAATATCTTTCTGATTCTGGTTCTTGCCCCTCATGGGTTTTGGCCTTAGCAGGCTTCACACCACCTGTCTCAGGCTCTAGCTGTTCAGTCTTTTGGCTCTGGGTCCCCTAGCCCTGTTGTTCACCTGTCTTGGGCTCTATGCCCCCTGCCCCTCTGTGACCCAGGTTTTGCTTCCCCCTCCCCAGCCACTGCCTGCCTATGTCATGAGCCCTAGACCCCTAGAAGAGTTCAAAACACTACTTGCCCTCCCCCCACAGTCTGAGACACCTTGTGATCTCCTCCCTTATTAGTCACTCCAACACCACCAGTTGTTGCCCATTGTCATTCACATCATAACATAAACAAAACACAAGCCCACTGGCTGCAACTAAAATACTCAAAATATCCCTACTCTGGGTGCATAAGGTGGCTTTCCAGCTACCTGCAGGGATTTCCAATTAGGACCTATGGCTAGTCTCCAGGTCAGCTCACAACTGCTAGCCTAGCTGCCTTAACAGTGCTCATCTCACCTTTTATTGATCCCTGGCTGCCTACTTCTTGCAGCCATCCCATATTGGGCAAAGTTTCTCCCATCTATATGATGGCTAGAAAATGGTATTTAGAGGTTTGCTTTTGGAAACTGACATATAGGTAAAGTAGATATGCACTAGAATAATGGTCCACGGCAACAGCAAGGGTTAATTGATTTCTAAGAAGCTTGTCTGTGACAAAGTTTCCTCAAGGCCCACTGTATCTGACAGGCAAGCAGCACACAGATACACAGGCTGGGAAATTAAAGACATGTACCACACTGTTTCATAACAGTGTGGCACCAGGTCACAGTACCCAACTGCAGGACCCTTGGGTTTTCTGGTTTTGAGGAAACAGACCAAATTAGGAGGACACCAGTAAAGCCCAAATTAGGATTTGTGCATGTGATGAATGTGTGAAACAATGGGATATGCTGACAGAACAGAACAGAACATGGACAGTATGACAACCACAAAAAGACCAATCAGCAATGGCTAGAGATGAAAAGTCATCAGGAGGGAAAAAATACTAAAGGAAGAATTTCTAAGCAGGAAAGAGTCCCTGAGAGGGAAACCTGAGGCCGACATGGACAAAGGTCATACTACCAGCCCATCTCACCCACCCCACTGGGGGAGGGTGGCAGGCTTTGGCCTCCGACCTCTAGACTACTGGTATCTAACATTAAAATAAAAACCTCAGGGTGAAGCTCGCATACTGGTCAAATGTACCTTGACTCTAATGACAGCTCTAGAACTGCTAAATATAAAATTATTTGTATTATTTTTAACTGCTATCACTGTGTATCAATACAATTTGCCTATTATCAAATGAAATATGGTCATGGTCAGTCTGAGGGTTTGGGTCATCCCAGAACAAGGTATCTTGGTCATAAATCCAGTGCCAACACTAGGGATCTCCTCCTTTCTGCTTATCTTTTAGATAGCCTCCCACCTGTACCCAGTATAACAAACAGTTTTTCAAGTGTCCCCATAAGTTAACCCCCGTTCCTGAATCCCACCTTCCATGGAGGATCTCAGGGGGTTCCATTCCAGATCTATATCCTACCCCGAAGTCCCCCCAGTTCCATGGTAGCTG